AACTATTCAACGGGAACTGGTACATACTAATGTATGTGGAGCAATTAGCGTTCAGACCAGAAGAGGTGATGAGTACTTCATTATATGAATGTTTACTCTGGATTTGGACAGATGAACCAAGTGCGCCATAAGTCTAAAGCTTTTGGAAATTTCCAAGAGGTTTAGTCTGAGGCAGAAAAGCATGTAGGTGTTCAAATCAAAAAACACTTTGGTCTGACTAAAGTGTTGGCTACCTGTCTGGTAAGTTCAGGTCTTACCTGATTTAAGAGGGGATAGTTTTCGTAACTGTCAACTCTAAGAACGCGTTAGTTGAATGAAGTTGCAGTATGCGAAAATCAAACATTTCTAGACTTGGTGAAGATTATGTTCAGTTATTCATCTTTGTCAATGTTGTTCAAGGGAGATGTCTAAGAGAAGGAAATGTACCTTCTTAACTTGATTCCGTCAAAGTTTGTTGTAAAGACACCTAAAGAATTATGGAAAGGGTGCAAGCCCAGGTCAAACCATATTCGGATTTAGGGTGCTACGGCACACGTCCTACAACAGCAGTCAAATAAGATGGAATCTTGTATGGAAGAGTGCATATATTTTGGCTACCCTAAGAGAACTAAGGATGATTTCTTATTTAGTCTTAAGGACAAGATAATCTAAGTGAGCACTCACATGATTTTCTTAAAGGAGGACTAGATGCGAAATTATAAGCTCTTAAGTTAGGTTATTCTTGATGAGATTTATTTCAGCTCAAGAATTTCTAGAATCTCTAGAAGCTTCATCCACTGTTCCCTTGATTGTTCAAGAGGGGATAGATATATCTCTAAGTGAACAAACAAGAAGAACATGATTGAAAATTCAACATGATAATATATAAGTGAAACTAGTAGAAATATTTTTTTTTTTTTTTTTTGTAAATAAAGAGGGGTTAAGCCCCAGAAACAGAAAGAAATTACAAATCAGAAACTAACAAGCTAGACATATTTCTAGCATCAGCAACTATAAGTTCCATCAACTGAGGAAGAGGATCTTTAAAAATCTTGAAATGGAGATTATTAGTCTGCCCAGCTTTAGCTAACCAATGAGCATATTTGTTGTTTTCTCTCTTGGTATGAACAAGATGAATAGTCCAATCTGCTTTTAACCATAATCTCAATCTGCTAGTGACTTGAGAGTCCCTAGGATCTTCATGCTGCTCCTTTAACATCTGGATGGCTTGGCTAGAATCACATTCTAGCTCTATTCTTTTTAATCCTGTTCCCCAAAGCAGTTCCAAACCTTTCAGTAATCCCCATAATTCTGCATCAAGAGGATTGCAGGAACCTAAATTACAATAGAAGCTTCCCAAAAAGGATCCATTGTGATCTCTTAATATACCACCACAACTAGCTTTTTTCATGCCACTAGAAGAAGCTCCATCACAATTCAACTTAACCCACCCTTGCTTGGGGGCTGTCCAAACGCTATCGTTGGAATCACCACGGCGCTGATAAATTCGGGCTTGCAGAATCTGCTGGACAAACATCCAAATTGAAGCCTGCGATTGCTCATCATGACAGAAATGATCTTCATGGATCTCCAAATTTCTCCACTTCCACAAAAACCAACAAGTAGTAAAGAAAATATCCCTCCAGTCCTTCACTTTATTGGAGGACCACATGTTATCGATATTTAAAGTCAACCAATCCTGCAAATTCGAATTCATAAAGGAATTGGGTATCGAACCTGTAAACCAAGATTGCCAAATTTTCCTAGCATGTCTACAATCACGAAGAACATGAATAATAGTTTCCTCATGATTTGGACAACTTGGACAGACAGTTGAACCTCCGCTCCACTTACTGGTTCTGCTGCGCACTGAAAGTTTAGCAAGCAAAGTCATCCACATAAACACTTTCACTCGTTCAGGTCCATTCCACGACCAAACTTTTTTCCATAAGCTAGTGTGAACATCTGCTGGGAAGTTCATAAGATTACAGTAAGCGACCTTAACCAAAGAAGTTGAGTGATGATTATTGATCCAAACTAATCTATCCTCCTCATTCCTTGGAATAAGCCTGAGATGATTTGTTACTGCATCAGCCAAATCTGACTCCAGAAATTGATGAACAACTTCAAGACGGAAACCATCATCCACCATGTAATCTGCAATTGATTTCTGACTCTCCTCCCACGGCACCTGATTGCTCGACAACTGCTGCAAATTTTCCTCCCATCCCAACCAGTTATCAGTCCAAAGCTTTACTTCAGAACCATCTGCTATTTCCCATCTAAGACCAGCAAGGAAATTACTCCAACATTTAGCAAGATCACGCCAAAGTTTAGAGTCATACGATTTTGCCTTTATACCTCTCCTTAAGTCTTGACCTCTACCATACTTGGCTACTAAAATCTTAACCCATAAATCATCTTTCTTAGTTAACACCTTCCACGCCAAACTAGTAGAAATATTAGTATCACATGTAAAGGAACAATATCAAGGATAAGCGGATCCCCACGAAATTAAAGATCCATCATTTGACCCACTCTTTGTTTTACCTATAAATACACAAGGTCTAGTGCAGTACATTCGTAGTGGGAGAGAACCTTGTTAACTCTCAAGTTGTCTCTTGTTGAGTGACATTGGTCCTACTAGTTACGATAATGCACTAGAAGATGTTGTTGATCAAGTGTTGCTCAAGCTATGAACAATGAGATGAAATACTTGTATTTTAACTCCGTTCGGTCCTAGTAAAAACACCAAGAAGGGTAAAACCCACAAGGTGCATGTGGACATAAAAGGCAAAGAGAGGATGGACAGGAAGGTGAAAACCTTCAAAGCTAGCTTTGAGGCAATTTTTGCCAGACGCCATGCTTGAGTCTATCCAGATTCTCTTAGTTGCTATAAGTCTCAATTATGAGATTTCATTTTGGGAGTTGGATGTCAGGATATCTACATACATCAACCAAAAGGGTTTATAGCAAATGGGTAGGAACACACGGTATGCAAGTTGTGAAAGTCTATTTCATAGACTTAAGCAAGCATCCAGGTCTTGAAACATCAGTTTTGATCAGGTTAACAAAATTTTGATTTTGAGAGAACCTTGATGAATGATGTGTATTTGTATGTAAAGGATCCAACGGAAGACAGTAGTTTTTCTGGTACTTTATGTAGATGATATGCTCCTTATTGGAAACAATGTGGAGGTAATATCAAGCATAAAGAGTTGGCTAAGTTAGTGTTTTGGTATGGAAGTACTGGGGAAGCCAATTATATTCTTGGTATAAAACTCTTATGAGACCGGAAGAATAAGTTGTTGGCATCACTTCAGGCTACTTACATTGGCAAAACTCTTGCCAAAAGTCAACATGAGAATTCTAAGAGAAGAATCATAAATTCTCAGATGTGGAATTCATCTTCCTAAGGAGTAACCAAAGACTTATAAGAAGGAAGAATGCATGAGCAGGATATCTTATGCTTTGGCAAAGGTAGACTCATGCATATCATGTTGGGCGTTAAACCAGACATCTGAAATGCAGTGGGAGTAGTGAGATAGTACCATTTTGAACCTAGAGGAATACTAGATTATTGTTAAGCATGTACTCAAGTATCTTTGGAAAACGAGAGATTATATATAGGTATATTCTAGTGGGAGTCTTGAAAAGCTGAGTTTTCAAAAATTCAGTTATTTCAAGTGGATATTGACTCAAGAAAATCAACCTCGAGCTATGAGTTTTTCACTAAACTCAGATAGCATTAGAGGTGTATCTTGCAGACCCAGTTACTAAGAGTTTGTCTGAACTTGTGTTCGAGAGGCATGTTACTTCTTTGGGTCTTAGGAGGATCCCAGACTTGCATTAAGCAAGTGGGAGTTATTGGTTTCATTATGCTCTTGGAGTAAGACTATGAAACAATAAAATAATTTTCTGAATTTCATAAATAAGGTTTTATTTATTTATTTTGCGCACTATTTACAAACATAAAGGTCCGGATCAAATTGTGGAGTATATGATCATATGGATACGTTCATGGAGGACATGATCATAGGTTCTCACAATTGATGAATGGAGTCACAGCCGTTAAATAAAGTTGGGCACTTTATTCAGGCTGCAATATTTTATGAAATGATTTTGTCCGAATCATTGTAAAATATTGGTGTGAATTAACATTCACATTGAAAGGATCAATGAGAGATTTGATTAAGGTTGTTTTTTCTGTCATAAGGTATCAAATCTCCAGTTAACTATAGTTATGTAATTGCTCTTAATCCTGAGTTTATTATAAATAGGTAATCAAATAGTTTTCATTCTTTAATTTACCAACGGGTGAGGTTCGATCTATTGACGGCCAATAACTCGGTATTTTGGGAGTGAGATTATTTGATTATCGGTATTTATGAGATAAACAACAAGGAGTTTATAGGAAATGTCCTCTTGATATGTTTCAGTACTTGGATATTAAAGACACTAGCCAGTGCAATAATCCATTAGAGAAACTATCATAGTCAAGTGAATAAATAATTGATTGGGTTACAGAAAATTAATCAATCAATTATAGACATTCTATAAAGGGGCAATGCATATTCATGTTATAAAGGTCATTAATCTTGGAGTTCACGTTCGGGCTTTTAGTGGAGTAGCGCCGAATTAGATAATCTTTCAAAGATTATCAGGAGCCTTGATGAGTGAAAGATGGTAGATCCCCAGGCTAGCTTGAGACAAGGGATGGGTTGTATAATCAGATGATGATGGCTTATGGGCTACATTGTCTTGGGTTTATGAACTCAAGTTTGTGTCCAAAAGAGCAAGTGGGAGATTGTTGAGTTTAGTATGCTCTTTTCACTTAAGCCCAATGGCTTTAGTGAGAGTGAGCCCAAAGTCCAGTTCTTAACCCATGAAGCTTAGGGTTAGTTTTGGATTGGGCAGGGTATATAAACACACTTTTCTCCCTTGTGCCTCCTAGGGTTACAGACATCAGAAACACAAAGAGGCAGACGTTCATCATCTGAACGGTTGCCCACACGACCACCTGATCCCCTTGAGTCATAGCCTGGAAGATCAACCGTAGAGCGGAATTGCGACCGTTCGTGGTGCGTTGCTGCAGATCGTGAGGCTTGAAGAGGAGAACAGAACGTGAGAAATTGTCACGCTCGCTGCTTCATCTCAGGTAATCAAAGTGGTGTTCTTCATTCCTCATCACATCGGTACGATGCGCTTCCGCGTTTCTGATGATATACCTTCAATCATTCTTCCACATTCCCTGCCTTCAACTTCATCTTCTGCTTGATTCTTTTTTCTCTATGTCGGTGACGCTCTACAAGCTTGTCTTCCTTATCTGCCTTAAATCCTCTCGCATCCTTCTATAGTATTCAGCTTTTTGTTCTGCATAAATATGAGATATACTCAGATGGTCAAATAAACAGTAAAGTCTATGCTTAAGAACATACATGCAACTTAACTACTTCAATGTTTCAAAGTAAGACTGAGTCACATGGTATAGCAAACAAATGAGGTCTAGCCACGGTTAGGTTCTTCAGATCAACAATGATACATACAAAAGTCGCAGAAAATATGAATGGGATCAGGGTTATCAAACTACCAACAAGTTGGACCAAATTGTTAGGAACCCAGAAACAGATTCTGAGCATTCAGAGAGAGATGAGAAAAACAGAGAAATAAAAAAAAAAGAGGAAGAATACTTCTGTACAGTTTATGGAATTATAAATGGAGACCTGAGTAGAAAATTCTCCTTCCAAGCGTTTCCTCTTTCTAGAGCTAATGCTTAGTTCCCAAATGATAGCAAATCAGAATGCCCCCTCTTGTACCATCTCTTCCTATTTAAGCTAATTCCCTAGGTGTAACAACTTTAACCCCCCAAAACAATTATTCTAACTAACTACTCTGCAGCCCAATCACATGCAGACTAAATCCTGCAGTTACAAATACAACAAAGCAATTAGTTACTAATGAGACAACTCTCGAGTGTCAATAATCAAATCAAATAAAATTCTATTTCCTTGGACTGCACAAAAGTTCTTGAAAATTATGACTAGACATGCATTGGCTAACCATCAATAGGAAAAACATTTCAGGTGGCATAATAGTAAAATTATAATACAAGCCTATAACATAAGATTTCCTTCAAGTAAAAGAATTTCTTGACACATGACAGGAAAGTGGAGTTACCTGTTTACAGCTAGAAAGAGAGACGAGTGTTTTTGACTGAAGATGTGTCTTTATGAAACTCCACAGCATATCTAACTTTTGATCCAGAGGAACAATCATCACAATTTGCTTCAAGAGAGTAGGAGTGGCAGTCACAGACTCTTCATGTACGCTCAGACACTCTGGGTCCTTTAAACTTAGTCTTGCAAGATCTTGAATTGACTTTGTTTGAGTTGCTGAGAAAAGCATGGTTTGTCTACGCTTTGGTAGTTGCTGAGAAAAGTGTCGTATCATATCGTGTCACGTGTCAGTATCGGTGCTACATAGGTTGTGAGATGAATACATTTAGTTCCTTCTTGAATCCACTGTCAAGAATACGATCAGCCTCATCTAGTACCAAAACCTGTATCCAGGAAAGCCACCCAATCATTAGCTATGTTTAGAAAATATTTAATGATAAATATTAGTGATTGAATTTGTCAAAAAAAAACACACATGCTTCGGAAGATAAAATTAATATTTCATGCTTTCCAAGGGCTAAATAATAGGTAAACTTAATGGCATAAATACTGTACTCTAACCACTGTAACTAAATCACCTAGGTAGTTTTCAAAAAGTAATAGAAATTTTCTGAAGGTTGTCCAGACAGGCAGCCAGCCAGGTTGGAATACCAAAGTATTATAAAAGGAAGCAGAGCTTGAGTTAATAAAATTACTTAATTGTAATTCTCATTTCAAAGTAAGGTTGAGCTTTATCTATTCTACATTTACAAAAAAAAGAAGAAGTGAAGATTATATTGACCTGCATCTGTGAACAATCAAAATTGGGAGTTTCATCCATGTGCTGTAGAAGGCGATCAGGTGTGCAGATCAATATGTTGAGCTCATTGACACGTTCTTTCTCCATGTCAACATCCTTGCGACCACCAATGAGCAGGCCAGCACTAAAATTATGGTACTTGCCAATGGACTTCAATACATCAAATAGCTGGCCAGCTAATTCTCTTGTAGGCGATATGATGATGCTTCCAACTCCATCTTCAAGTCCCCATCTCTCTCTACGCAATTTTTCCAACACCTATCAGTCACAATCCACCATTAATCAAACCCCAAAACCCCCAAAAGAAGAAAAAAAAAATTATGAAGAGGATAATTCAATAGTAGTGGATCCTTCACTATACGAAGCATCCAAAAAGAAAAAATGTTATCAGACACAATATACTATCAATAACCTGAGAAGTGAAGCACTCACCGGGATAATGAAAGCAAGGGTTTTTCCAGATCCAGTTTTGGAGGCACCTAGGATATCACGGACACAAAGTGCATGGGGAAGAGAAGCCCTCTGAATATCAGTCATGGTGACAAACTTCACTTCTCTCAAGCCATCCTTGGTTTTCTTGGAGAGAGGCAACTGCTCAAACCTCGCCTCACCCGCATAGCGCGAGAAGGTGTTGTCGTCGAAGCGCCCAACAGGGGCATTTTTGGGGAGAGGAGGAAGCGATATGGGGTTGGAACCCCTCTCTGGTAGCTGATTTTGGATCCATGAATCCAACAATTTTATCTCGTTCTCTTCTGAGACTCGTTGTTGCTTCCGAAAGTCCTTCGATTTGGGTCTTCTCATTGCTCCCAAAGGTTGGGAACTGAACTTGGCGATAGAGAGAAAGAGTTACAGTGCTTAAGCATGAAGATGTTATGTTAGAATTTCACATTGTAAGTGTATAACGAACTTAACCATAAATTCAGCAATATAGGACTCAAATAATTCTTTAAACACCAAAGATTGGCTTAAATATAGGAGGGAAACTGAGGAACATGAGAAAGCAATAGCACACATTCTGTAAACAGGCATGCATCTGAACCATCAATTTTATCAAACACCTAGCATGCAATCTCATGCTTATCTAACACGATTTCCTCAACAAAATTCAATGAACAAGCAAGCAGTACACAAAAGTAAAAGCCCATAAAGCACCAAAGTAAGAACAACAACAGGTAAGGTGGTTTCATTTTTTTAACTGGTTTTATGAGAAGCAAGGTTCTCTGCAATAGTAGGCGGAAATATATAATATGGTAATAAGGAATTGAAAATATGCGAGAAATTAGGCGAGTGAGAGGAGCTAGGGCATACCTTAGCTATATGGATAACTCAGATGCAACTGTGGTGGAGGAAGAAAATATAGACAAAGGTGACGGTAGAGGAATATGACGGCGAATAGGTGAGAAAGACAGAGAACTATTTTGTTTAAGAGACGGTAAAATAGTGAGGCGTACGGGTGGCAAAACGGGTCAACACGACACGTCATGCCACAAGCCTTTGACCCGTACACGACACATATTTATTGACTATCAAAAACGCAAACCCGGACACGACCCGCTGCGTGTCACGGGTTGACACGACACATCACGTAAAATTTGAAATTAAAAAGAAAAAAAAGGAAGAATTTGAGAATTTTTTTATAAAAAAAATTAAAAACAATAAAAAACCTAAAATAGACAAGTAATCTATATAATTCCTATACAAGTACTAAAATGGACAAACCATTAAAATGAGACCTACTGCCGTTATTGTGTTGAGACCATAAGTATTGTTGGGGGTTGGTTAAAACTAGGAATTTTTCAAATTAAGTTCCTCTACTGCAGCAACTTACTCGCCATATTCATAGATGCATATGTAGTATTTAAACCCAATCCTTCAAGTAAACAATCTTACCATGTATCTCAAGTCTATATATAATATATGCACTCTTTCATCGCCAATCAGCCATAAAAGGCACTTCCAACATTCAGTCGTTCCCCTCCACTCATGGGGAACACGACATGTACATATATACAATTAAACATACACTATTATTTTGAAAACAGGTTGATTTTTCAGCCATTCAACAACAGTTTCGAACCTATCCTTTAAGTGTAATATTAGCTTTTCTAATTACAAAATAGACTCATCATTTTACAGCTCACCATTTCTCAAATGCTTAAGTCCTATATCATCCAAAAGCCAAGTTTTACCACAAAATTTACATAAGGTACAAAGCATCTTATCCGGTCTACATTTTCTTCCCAATCCTTGTACATCAGAATATAGATTTGAACATTTCTAAAGTAAATGAGACACAATACCAAATTTACATGGAAATTTCAAAATACCAACATCATAATACAATTGTCCAGCCTAGAAACCACAAAATGCATCATTTTCATTCATGAGTAAGTTAAAAAGAAAGGCTCCTAGACACTAGTACAATCAAATAACATCCATGATACATGCTTCAGCCACCCCCTCATTCAAACCTGAAAAGTAAGTCCCACAAGGGGTGAGATTGGAAATCCCAATAAATCAAAGAACTCTTAAATTACTCTATGGCTAGTCATCAAAGCTAGAAGGAAAGGGTCTTGATGCTTAGAAATCTGCATGAAATTATTTAGAGACATGTGCATATATCAAGAATACTCAAAAAAATCACACAAGCCTTTCAACTAAGCCACCAAGCCTTTCTCCTAACCCCATTACCGAAAGCTCAAGAAGGATAAGAAAGTCCTATGATTTACCTTGACGATTCGCTTCCAATGGCGAAGGATTTTCAGCACCCAAACTCCTCAAAGAACCCAATGTTCCACTATGGTTGTCTACAACTCAAATGTCTCCCATTAAGTTACCCAATCACCGCTATCTTCTTAGAGAACTCATTGAAGACACTATATCTGGCAACACTCGTACACCTATCCCCCGAAACCAAAGACAACCTCGTAGTCCTCCAACCCTGTCGCGTCGCAATGAATAAACAAAAATAAGAGACAAATTTTCAGTTTAAAAATAAATAAATGAAATGAAAGAGAAGAGAAGAGAGGAACCTGGTGAAATGTTAAGGGAAGAAAAAGAGATCGCTTTGACAGTAACAAATCACGAATCAAAATATAGATTCCGGCACTAACACCTTTGGTACTAACGGTGAAGGTTCTCGCTGTAGCCGTCGGCAGCGTTCCGGCGTTAAAGCTCGTTGCAGCAGCCGATATTTTTTCATCATTTCATTTAAATTTCTGGTAACTGTAAAGTTATTGCATTTTGTTGAAAATTTCTGAAAATTCACTTTTATTTTAAAAGTGACTTAACCTCATTAATTAAATTTATGGCAAAAATCTTAACTTTTTATTTTACTAGTGTGGTTTATTATAGCTAACTTGCTTACTTTAGCGAGTGGTCTAACGAGCAGAAGTACTCGTTGACTTGCTCTCTTAAGCGGGCTAAACAGAATACTGTCTGAAAATACCTCATAAGAAGATGGTTTAATTGGAATGAGACTAATACTTGGCAATACATAAGAAAAAAAAAATTTAATTCACATAGTTACCTAAAGATAATAGTGACATATTTAGATATAGCTTTCATTTTATTGTTAATTATACTGCGCTTAATACTTGTTAACAAATTGGTTGCAAATGGAGTATTACAGTAATGCTTATGATTTTAGGGTTTAGGGATTTTGAACTCGTGATTTTTACACAGCAAGCAGGTGCTCGCTCAATGAATCCTAGGAGATGGTGAACTTTGTATAGAGAGAATTTATCCCTTAATAATTTAGATTGATATGATCTCCTTTAATCTATACCTATTGGAATTTGGCCTCAGCTTGGTATTTATGTGTCTTTTCATTAAGGGGGCGTTTGGTTGAGGAGAAATTTTATGAATAATAGGGAAATGTTATACATAGAGAAATGGTTGGAAAGTGAGATAGGTAGAAAAATGTAAAAAAAAGTTGTTTAGTTGGAAAAAATTTTACTGGGAAAATTAGGTAACTTTTATGAAATCTATGTTTGGTTGTAGGTGAAATATAGATGAGAAAACAAGTTGGTATTACAAAATAACCCTGTTTTTGAAATTTTTTGACGGTGGCATGCTACTTTACCCGTAAACAGGGTTGTCGAATCCCAACGTTCATCTGTGAAAAAATTTAGTGTTGCCAACGACCATATCTAAAAGAATACAAATATCTGTCTTTGGAATTGATCTGTGTCAAGGTTTCCGCTCTGCAACCATCACAAGGGGGACCTCGAGGCCGTGTTCCACAGTGAGTGAACGCATACAAAGAAGGCATACGGTTTAGTAGACGTTAGGGTTGGACTGTCGACCTGGGAGCGTAGCAAAAGAAAGGGCATGATAGATGAGAACCATAGCTGTATAAAAATTGCTTCACCATCACAAGAGGTATGCTCATCGCTCTTTGTTCTATTTTGTTATGGGTATCATCGTTGTTGTGGTCCAAAAAATGGTGTTCAATGAATGTATACAAGAACCCTAAAGTGATGTTCATTTACCTCCTTTCTCTGTTCAGGTTGTACGAAGGAAGCATTCACATTTTCCCCTTCTGATTGGCGAGAAATATATTTGTCAACCGCACGACTAGGTGTTTGTGGAGGTAAATGAACAGGGACAGTCCCCTACAAATAATATGATATCCACACATTCATAAAGGAAATTAACTATCTCATAACTTATAAACACACACAAGCACATAACACTATAATCCTATTAATATTAGTTAGAACATAAGAAGTTAAGAATCAGTGATCGTTAGATTAAACTATTCTTATGCTGAAAAGAACTAAACAAATAATTAATAATGAAATTTAAATTTATTAGTGTATGTTGTTTTGAACCTGTTGTTGAAATGTTATTGTTGGAAAGTGTTTCTTTAAACAGTTTTGGATTATACTATATACATATAAGTTGGTTTGTTGCCTATAAGTTTAACTGAACTCGCGATCTGTCTCCTTCTTCTTACGGCAGTAACCAAAATAGACAGTGACTGGTGGGAGGAGTCTTGCAATAGAGTACTGTAGGACCATTGACGGAAGCATGGGTTTTTTTTTGAGTGGTTTGAAGAACCGAGTTGCCGTAATTGTATGAAGTTCGAGAAATTGATGAAAGACCAGAGCCTTTTGCTAATTGTAATGGTTATAACATTTGGCATCATCATGACTGCAATGTTGATATTTCGTTGACACCTATTGTAATGGTTTGCTAAATGTGTTGCATTACCATATCTGTAGTTTATGTTGTGTGGAGTTGTAATTTGGCAGTTGTATGTGCTTTTTTTTTGTCATAACTATTGTGTATGATGATTGTCTGTTAATTATGTTATTTATGAATGTCATGAAATGTTGATGTAGTTATGTTTGTCATGTCTCTTACTTAATGCCTTACTTTATACCCTACTGGAAATGAACTTCTTTGAATTGAAAAACGTCCAGGGTTGCTTCTATATGGATACTGGAACTTCTCAGTTTGATCTTTACTACAAGCAAGTGGTAGAGATTTGGGACTAGTGAGCTCTGTTCGTACTGGTGTAGAGTGGTTTCTATATGGATGATGTTTCTATGTTGATACTGGAACTTTTCAGGTCATGAAGAAGAAGGTCTTCAAATGCTTCTGGATTCAAATTACTCTATCAACCCAAATTAATGGAACTTCTAGAATACCATCCAAGTGGAAGATATCTTGTCCCTGAAATTTGAAAGTGGAAAGAGGGAAGGAAAGCTAGTTTGAATAAAATTATCTAGTACCTTATCAGCAAATTGAAGTCTCGCAAATACACAAGATACTAGAACTTCTGAATCTCAGTTATTGCAGGTAATTTTAAATTTCATTCACCAATGTATTTATCAAGTTTTCCTGTTCCCTTTACCTTAATAAGTTCAAATGCATTTTATTGATAAACCAGAAAAGGTT